GCGTAGCTATTATTTTTTGCTAATATTTACAATTTGAAATTTTTTTAAAAAAGAATAACTTCTAAGATTTTGGTAAATAACATAAACAAAATAATAATCATTGTTAATATGATTCGATACCATTCAAGTCATAAACTTCAAAAACATCAGTTTAGATAAACGATTTGCCTCTAGGGGTCTCGATGCCCTGACTTTGTTAACAAAAAGGGGTGTTGGTGAGGGGTTTTTCTTTTTTTTTTCTTTTTTTTCTTCACAGGAGTATTTGCGAATTAGAAATAACACATGGGTATAATAGTAGTACTTCTATAGTACATAATAAGAAAATTTTGGGGTAATTGAAAGAATTGAATGCTTCAATTCGTGATATGATGAAATTGTATAAATTCTACACACTCGAGGTGACTCAAAAGTTAGTTCGGATCGCGGAATATTTTGTGAGGCAAAATAATTATTATAGGAGAACAGAAGAAGTTCCACCCATTGTCACGAGATACTAAGTAGATATTGACCAAATTGAAGAAGAAATGGTCTATGAAGAGGTAAAAATTAGCATAACTGAAATTCTGCGAATACACGCACGCCCACCTTTCTAGTAATATCAAAAAGATATATATTGAAGCTTAGCTATTTCGAAACTCTTCACATTTTTTTGGGAAGCAAATGGTAGTATATTGAACTTTGTACTCATTCATTGATCAGTTTCTTCATGAAATTCAAGTTTTCTTCACAATAATAAATATATTAAAGATCAGACACCAATTATCCCGAGCAAAATAATTTCGAAAACATACCCCAAATTGAAATAAGTGCTGCATTAACATCGAACACAAATCACCAGCAAAAAAATAGAATTTCTTAGGGTGAAAAAAGAAGAAAAGGAAGAAGAATTATATTACAATCAAAAGTTATCACTCCGTCGTATGTAGTCGCTCTGTTCCTTTTGGTGTTGAGTAAGCTGATCATTTAAGCTAACCTCCTTTTTGCCGTTGTAGGCTATCTTTAGTAATTTTATATAAATATAGTAGAAGAATAAATCAAAAATTAGTAATTTTATCCCAAAATTAAAATCGGATTGGAAATTCAAAAAATTCTACATATCCTTCGAATTCCAATCCAAAAAATATCCCGAAAAATTGGAAATAGGAATTTTCTGAAATCGGAATGATTAAAAAAAAAAAAAAAAAAAACAATAAAAAGTGCTCCAAAATTGAAAAAAATCCGATCAAAATCGGGGGAAAATGGAAATTATGTTCCGACTTTCACCCCAAGCGCTTGGCAGATTCTCCAGGGAGGATGTGAAAAAGAAAAATTTATATTTAAATTGGTTTAGAGGAGACGAAAAAAAGCATCATTTGCATCATTCAACCAATAGAGAGCAAAGAATGAAAAAAATCCAAATATGAATATTCAAGAAAATGACATTCACTAACTAATCAGATTGTTGAAAAACAAAAATAACTAAATGCATAAATACTTATCTAAGAAAAATCAAAATAACAGAAAAACAAAAAAAAAAAAAAAACTCAGTGTCGAACATATAATATCAAAATAACTAAATGCATAAATACTTATCTAAGAAAAAACTCAAGTAAATATTAACCTGGACTGCTATGCTAAGCTTTAATCGTCGCCGGGGAATAGAGACTATTCCGATATGGAATGACTGTACTGCAATTTACATCAATCTCTAAAATCTCTTTGACCGTCGTCTCGTTAGGGCTATAAAATGCAAATTTGTTATTCCTTATCTGAATGACAACCTTATTTTCCACGAAAAATATTGGTCTAGACCACAAATACGGAGGGTTAATATTCTCAACGGTTATAAACTCCTTCCAGCAATTAGTAGTACTATTCTCCCCCGAATCGATGCCCTTTTCCTTTATCCACACTTGAACACTTTTCGTTACTTTGTTGTAACAGTACAAACAGACGCGTCCCCTCAAACAACCCATGTTAACTAAAAGATACTTGTCGTGATTACTCACTTGTTCGGGCCTTTGCAAAACCTTGAGCTCGTCGGTTCTTGGATCGAAATACACTAATTGTCTACCGGACCGATTCGTGTTGTCGCCCAAAATCCAGTAGGTAGCTCCATCGACGAATAAACCCGAACCCGTACCCCCCACGGTATGGTATTTTCTACCGGGCTTCTTCGTCCAGGAATTGTTGTTACACGAATAAATTGCGTATTTCCTTAGGAAAATAAAGATAACCTTGAAATCGCTCGTTATTTGGTCGTAACAAATCCCGTAATCCACTATATAACCTTCGTTCAAGTCGCACTGGTTTATGAGGAACATCTCGCGACGAGTTGATGGATTCCACAGCAGGTATCTATCGTATTTGCACTCACCGGGGAGGTAGAGGTTGGTCAAGAGTAGCACGCCGTTACATTCGCATAATATTCTGTTGTAGCCGTTGGGAATATTCTCCACGAATACTTCTCCGGCGCGGACTTTTCCACCTTCGAATTTAACCAAAGGAAACCCCGGATGTTCGTTATTATTTATTTGCGCACTTATGAAGAGATTATTATTCGGAGAGTTGTTCGAGGATTGGAGATGATTTTGAATGAATAAAGGATCGGAGATCATAGTATTGCATGACTTTGAAACTGATTTGAATCGAAGAAGAGATTTAACTGATGATAATTTTGACAGTATAATTTCGATTATCTCCGGAGGAATATTTGATGTTACCATGTCTTTTTTTTTTTCTTCCCAACGTTCGTGTTGGTTCTTTTTAGGGTTTTTCTATAAGGAGCTAAGGTTTTATTATGCAACGAGTCTTTCCTCTTGTTTTATATGGCCCAGCCCGCCATACAATATATTTCTTAGAAATAATAAGAAAAATCACATTCTATCCACCGGGATATTTAATCTATTAATTTTTTTATTTTTTTTTATTGACAAAACTCCGCAGCAAAGGAAGTGCTTCTTTGTCTACTTAGGGGTGGAATCGGACGGAATGGATCAGAAATTGCCTTTTTCGGAAATTTGTCATCTCTTCTTCGAAAGTTCAAAATAGGTTCCAATTTCCGTTCCAAAAACATAGGAATTTCAAATCCATTCCAATTTCAGAATACCTCG